CCATTTTATTTCGGACCACTGGACTGGTTCGTCAGGATTCAAGGGAAGGTTCGTCTGCCAATTCCGAATTCACCTCTGCCCACACAGCTTGCTCGTCCACCGAGCATGGCTGTCTGTGGAATCAGGCTTCTTGCGTCGGTGCTTCTCTCGGTGCCCCTGACTGCGGCTGCCAGGCGCTCCTCCCATGGAGCTCAGGGCCGCGACCTGCAGGTGCCTGGGGAGGCTCCCGGCGTCTACGACGTGCACCTGCTGGTTACGCGCCATGGGCTGTCTTGCGCGAATATTGTCGAGACGTGGGTCCACAAGCTCGATGCTGGCCGCCGGCTCATGCACGACCCGCTGCTCGGTGGCGTCGGCATCCACGGCTGCAGCGAAGGTCGGACAGCCGTGGAGGCCTACCTCCACAACCGCAGCCTGCCCCCCTACGACGCCGTGGTGTCCTCCGTGCTGGCGCGCGCCATGGAGACGGCGCTCCTCACCTACCCGCAGCAGGCCGCGCCTCTCTACGTGGTGCCGTTCATCCGGGAGCACGCGGCGGGCCTGAGCAACGCCCCGAAGGAGCCCGTGGAGCAGCTCGCCGACCTCAACGCGAGTGTCCCCTACGACTTCCGCGTGGACTACCGCTGGGTCGAGGAGTTCGGGAGCCAGAAGGGGTCCTGGGACCAGTTCTTGCACTTCCTCGAGCAGTCCTTCCTGCCCGACCTGGTCTCCAGGCTCGGGAAGCCACCGGGCAGCAAGATCGTGTTGCCTGTCGTGACGCACTCCCTGTTCATGAGGGACAGCGACGTGGGCGAGAAGTGCAAAGCTGCGTTCGGGGAGAACCCCTCCGGGAAGCCGCTGAACAATCAGGTCGTGGAGATGACGTATGCCTTCCACTCTGGCGAGGCTGCTGTTCTGCGCGCCGAGCCGGGGCAGGATCGGCGTCACTCCAACGTACTTATACTACATGTGCGTCGCCCCCCCCCCGGGGCGACGCGCGCACCGAGAAATCTCATGGTCTATGCGTCGTGGCGGGCGCTTTCTGGCCACACCGCGCGGGGAACGATCTACTACAGGATGGGTGTACTGTATGTTCGGCTCGGACGCGAGCCTCCAAGGACGACACATCGTGCTGGTATGTCTCTGTGCGTCCCGCAGGAGGCGTCCACCGTGCTGTTCACCATTCCGGAGTGCGGAGAGCCCCGCGCCGTGGGGCACTGGAGGCAGGCGGGAACGCACGAGGGCCGTCCCGCCTATGCCCGGGGCAGCCAGAGCCACGGGGCTGTGAGGCTCGCCCCCCCCGGGTCGGGTGGGGAGGGGGAGGGGGAGGGGGAGGGGAGGAGGAGGAGGAGGAGGAGGAGGAGGAGGAGGAGGAGGAGGAGGAGGAGGAGGAGGAGGAGGAGGAGGAGGAGGAGAGGAGGAGGAGGGGGGGAGGAGGAGGAGGAGGAGGAGGAGGAGGAGGAGGAGGAGGAGGAGGAGAGGAGGAGGAGGAGGAGGAGGAGGAGGAGGAGGAGGAGGATGAGGAGGAGGAGGAGGCCAACGGACGTCCTGGGGTCTCAGGGTGGGGTCTCTTGTGGAAGGTTTCTTGTGGTCGGGCCTCCACTGTGAGGGGCCCGGCTGGTGCCATCTTGGGCCAGCTTGGACGCTCTGACCCCGCGCGGCGTGCGCCTTGAGACCCAGGGCAGGGGAGGTGGCCCATCCACCCCCTCCCCCGAAGGGCCGCCGACTCGCTCACTCCCGCCCGCCCTCCCGCCGCACAAGCAGAAGCCGAACCTCGGCGTTGGCAGGGGTCTCCGTCGGATGGAGAGCCCGTCGGAGCGAAAGCAGGCGCCGGGTGCGCGACGTTCGCGAGCTGCGCCGCGCGTGCCAGGTGCGTCTCTCGCGCCAGGTGCGCCAGGCGCCCCACGTGCCAGGCGCGCCTGGTGCGCCAGATGCGCCGTGGGTCCCACATTCGCCGAGTGTGCCACGTGCTCCGCCCGCGCAAGGTGCCACACGTGCGTGGCGTGCGAACGTTGTGCCAGGTGCGCCAGTGCATGTGATGATAAGATGCATCGGGAAACATGTCGTCCGCCCCAATCATCCTTGTAACAGGAGCCAATGCGAAGTGGCGGCGGGGTGGTAAGCATGGTGTGTGGCGCGCGTGCCCGCACATATGTTGCTTTGGTCTTGACAGGGGTGGTTGCCCTGCAGGCGGCATACTCTATGCGGGCACTCCCGCTATCCCTGTCACACGATTCAAAGTGATTGCCCCCACCCGCGCATGGTCGAATATTTTCCGGCCGGGGGCTGGTGGTCGAGTGGGAGAGGAGGCGTTAATTCTTAAGGAGCGGTGGTAGCCGTTTCCTTCCCCCGAGGCGGAACAGTGGGATTGGAACTGGACGCGCCTCAGACCACCTCGGCCCGAAAGGGCTGGCTGGAAATTGTGCGTTCGTGTGTACGGACCGTCCTGCAGATGTTCGGGGGGGGTGCGGGGGGGTCACCGTCCGTGGGACGGCATAAGCACATTCTCATCGAAGAAGAAAGCACGAAGAAAGCACGAAGAAAGCATAGAAGAAGAAAAAGGAGGCCATTCTCATGGAAGAAGAAAGCACAGCATAAGCACAAACTCTTGGCGCGCCGCGCGGACTTCTTGGATCCGCGCTGGGACCCCCGTGGCGGCGCCTCCGGCGCCGCCCTTGGCGCGCTCCGCGCGCCAGAGAGGGGGGTCCAGCGCAGATCCAAGAAATCCGCACGGAGCGCCAAGAGTTTGTGCTTGTGGCGTTTTTCTTCTTCTAGAAAGCGCGGGCACGCCTGTGGACTGCGTATTCCCCCAGCTGTTGGGGAATCGACCGGAGGATCACTTGGGAAGGGGCCTTCTGGCAGATCTGGGGCACTCGTTGGGCTCGCTTCGGGCCTCTTGGCCCTTTGGGGGGCGTCCTGGGGCCCCTCTCACAGGACGCGAAAACGACCACAGCCACTGCTTCTCTTTTGTTGCCGCCTTCCAGCCAGCAGAAACAAAGCAGTGGTTGTGGTCGTTTTCGTTAAGCTTGGCACCAGGGAAATGGCAGTGGCTGTGGTCATTTTCCCGTCCCGCACCTCTGGGCCATCTTGGGGCCCTGTGGGGCCGTCTGGGGGCGCCAAGAGGTCGTGCTTCTGCCGTTTCTTGCCTCTTCTATCAGGCGATCGCAAACATGGATTGAGGGGGCGTGGATAGCGACGGGTCCCGGTTCCATGGGAAATTGCCCATTTCCGCCGCCGAACGAGGCGTCACCGGCCGCATTTTGGGGAGGGCACCTCCCCCGATCCATGAATTTGGCGACGGCGCGCCAAATCCATGGATCGCGGCGCAGCTCGCTCGGCGAGCTGGCATGCACTGCAGGTGGATGCACGCGTGTGGACTTACGCGAATACAGGTCAGCTGAGCCCCCCTTAGCACGTGTGGCCACTCATCAGGAGGGAGAAAAACACACAGACACAATTGATCGCCCACTCCCCGGAAAATATGGGAAGTGGGGGGGGAAGACAAAACTCCAAAAAATGTGGGAACGGATGGGGCAGTTTGTTATTCGTGTCTATTTATTTGGGGCCCCTGGGCCCCTTCAACTCCGCTGAGTCGAAGATCCATGGACCGCCCATCCATGTCTGCGCCCCCCCGATTCCGTCTCGCTGCCCCGCTGGTCTTGACCGCCCTGCCGTGCCAGTGTGGCGCACGGCCACGTCGTCCTCCGGTGGAGCGAGGGCGCGGCGGCCTGGCAGCTCGCGACGGCCTCGGTGCTCGGCGCCACGGTGCTGTACGAGTCCGAGGTTATGATGCTCCAACCTGCTTGAGTCGGAGGTGGATCGACCTCCTACCCCGACACGTCGATTCAGGAATGGGCCGTTTTCGGTTGGCGAGAGGGCGTCGCGGCCGTCATTTTTGCGGGTCCAGGTCCGTCGGTTTCGGTCCCAGGCAGTTTTCACTAAAGGGAGGTTTACTAAAGGGAGGTTTGTCCACCGCCGATTTAGGCTGGATCACCAGCAACAGTTTCGAGCGCCAGGGCAATACCGAAGATTCATGGCTTTCGCGTGTCAGACCCCGGAAGGAGATGCTTGTTCGGCACTGCTTCGATACTGTTCTGGGTGCTCGAAATTGTTTCTGGGATGTGGTCCTTAAGTAAGGTGGGAGCAACATAAGTCTGAGGGTTCCGAGCTCCTGCCGCAAGAGATCCGTGCCGTGGCCGCCCCGCCACCCCGAGGGCCAGGAGTCCGAGGCAGGAATTTATGCACGACCACTGCCTGGAGGATCAATTTTCGGGGACCTCGCAGGCGGTGGATATGGATATATTCGGGCCCCGGGGGGCCAGAATATATCCATATCCACCGCCCGCTGGGGCACCAGGACGTCGGTTCCCAGGCAGTGGATATGGATAAATCTCCGCCTCGCAAGGAGCAGCCAAACCGTACCCTCAAAGTCGGGCATGTCTTTCTGCAGGAGGCATATTCAAAAATAGTCAAAAATATTGGCCGGGGGCGATTTTCCGACTATTTTGGAGTTTTTCCCCACATCCAAAGTGGGGTTCTTGTTTTCTCTGGACACCCCGCGCAGGAACAGGAACCCACCATCATCATCATCATCACTCATTCCTCACTCACTCACTCACTCATCATCCCTCACAGACTCACTCACACGCTCATGAACTCACATATGATGATGATGATGATGATGATGAGTGTGCGCGTGAGAGAGTGTGATGATCATCATCATCACCAGTCAGTCAGTCAGTCAGTCAGTCACTCACTCACTCACTCACTCACTCGCCTTGGGCCTCGTGTGTGAGTGAATTGCGAGGAAGTCTCAAGCGGGAGCCCCCTCCGCATGGGGCCCGCGGATCATGTTACTAATCCGAGCGGGTCATCCAATTCCTGTAACTGTCGCCACTTTTGGGCTCTCGCGCTGCCAGAACGCCATTCCCAGGCCACATTTGTGAGTGAATTGCGAGGAAGTCTCAAGCGGGAGTCCCCTCCCTATGGGGCCCGCGGATCATGGTACTAATCCGAGCGGGTCATCCAATTCCTGTAACTGTCGCCACTTTTGGGCTCTCGCGCTGCCAGAACGCCATTCCCAGGCCACATTTGTGAGTGAATTGCGAGGAAGTCTCAAGCGGGAGCCCCCTCCCTATGGGGCCCGCGGATCATGTTACTAATCCGAGCGGGTCATCCAATTCCTGTAACTGTCGCCACTTTTAGGCTCTCGCGCTGCCAGAGCGCCATTCCCAGGCCACATTTTGAATGCCCGGAGCCAACTGTAAGCCACTTCGTGTTCTTCGTGCTCCCAGAACACCATTCCCGGGCCACATTTTGAATGCCCGGAGTCAACTGTAGGCCACTTCGTGTTCTTCGTGTTCCCAGAACACTCCCGGGCCACTTTCTGAATGTCCTGAGCCAAAACAGGAGGGCGAGGTCGGGGGCAACGTAGGGAACGGGGGGAGGGCCCGCGCCAGGGCGAGAAGAAATATACGCAGAAGAGCCAGCCAGGACGCCTCACCAACCACCTGGACGACGGTGAGGGCTTTTTCCAGATTCGCCCAGAGGATTCTCATGTGGGGTCCTTCCGTCGGAGTAATTGTTTGGACTGTTTTTTATCTCTCGTCCCAAACCCACCTGCAGGAGGACATGCACGACCCTACCGTGCCCCTCTCAGGCCACATTAGCAGTCAAAGTGGTAACGAGCGGTTCGATTCTGCCCCAGCGTCACCGGCGCTTCGAATGATACTGGCCCTCTTAACTCGGAGGCTGCGTGCAATGCCCCTTTGGAGCGCTCTCTCTCTCTCTCTCTCTCTTTCTCTTTCTATATATATATATATATATATATGTTCTCATACGCACCTCTCCGAGGGAGTAGAGCTCAGAGGCGATTAATGCGCACGCGTCCGCGATTTTTCTGGGCGTTTCGCTCGGGACATCCTCGAAATTCTGAACATCGGTGGCACCCCTCACGCAGATCGTGACGTCAGGGTCCAAAAACACATTGGAATTTCAACATTTTAACATAAAACCTTCAAAAACGCATGGTACTTTCAATAATTGTGACCCCGATTCTCAGGGAATGGCGGTTTCGCTTGAAAAATCCTTCCAACATCGAGCCCCAGACCCCGCCTCGGAGCCTCCTGGGGGCCTCCTGGAACCTCCTGGGGCCTCCTGGGGCTTTCTGAACCTTCTGGCACCCCAGACCCCGCCTCGGAGCCTCCTGGGGGTCTCCTGAAACCTCCTGGGGCCTCCTGGGGCCTCCTGCGGCCTCCTGGAGCCTCTTGGGGCCTCCTGAAGCCTCCTGGGGTCTCCTGGGGCCTCCTGAGGCCGCCTGGGGCTTCCTGGGGCCTCCTGGGGCTTCAGAACTACATGCACACAGAGACACAAATCACGCCCAACACATCACACGCTAGACAAACATAACACACACACAACACCTACAACACACAAAAAGCGCGCACCACACAAAGCATACATCACACACACACACACGCACAACACTCACAATCCTGGGGCCTCCTGGAGCCTCTTCTGGTATTCAAGTCGGGCCTCCTGAGGCTTCCTGGGGGGTCCTGGTACACACATCGCAAGGTGTGGCAACCCCACTTGCGCTCGAGTGCGACTTCGATGTTGCATTTCACTCCTGCTTCAAACGCCCCTTCAGTTTTTTGTATGAGCCTGGGCACACACGTGCCACTTGTATACATAAGTATGGTCGGCTTTTGGGTTCCAGGGAGTGCCCTGCCTGGTTGTCCCTGGCGACCCGCCTGGCCCCCAGGGCGGTTTAGCGGCCACTATCGTCAGTGGAAGATTGCCAAAGGCTACTTCGGGCGCCCGGCTGCCAAGGGGCCGGTGCCCAGGATTGTTTGGAAAGACGGCAGGCGTAGTCTCAGGGAGACGGGCAGCCCTTGCGAGAACGTGTACGCCGGTGTGAAGCTGACGGACGCGGCTGGAAAGTTGCGCGCGCCCATCTGCCTCGAGGACGTCGGGGAGTCGTGCATAGAGCCCATCAACAAGTATGCGTGGGCTCCCGGGGTCCTCTGGCGGCAGACCTACGAGGGCCTGATCGACGAGGAGAACAGCACGATCGCGCGGCTGCAGGCCGAGGTGGCCCGCGCGAGGCAGGACATCGGGGCCCACCAGGTGCATGCCTACACCGATCCTTGACCATGCCTACAGTGGAAACCCATGCCAAGAGACACCCCGCTTGCCTCCATGGTGCCCTTGGTTTCTTGGGTTTCGATGGTTTTGCTATGGAAAGCGTCGTGCCCACACCAAACATCGATGGGCGTCTTGGTGTCTCGGGGTTGGGTTTCCTGGTGGGAGGTTTCTTGTGGTCGGCTCCCTACTGTACCCTGGCCCAGGATGCGTCACACTGCCTTGACCACGCCGACCGTTGGCCCGGGACAGGGCGGACTTGGTGATGATGGGTTTGGGTGTATCTGCGTCACCCGCACGGGCTCGGAGGAGGAGGAGGCGGAGGAGGAGGAGGAGGAGGCGGAGGCGGAGGCGGAGGCGGAGGCGGAGGCGGAGGCGGAGGCGGAGGCGGAGGCGGAGGCGGAGGCGGAGGAGGAGGAGGAGGAGGAGGAGGAGGAGGAGGAGGAGGAGGAGGAGTGAGTGAGGCGATGCCGAGGGCATGAATCCAAAGCACAGCAGAGGCAGGCTAGAGGGGGGGCGGGGGCGGTGCGGCTGGGCGGTCCTGCTGGCCGGAGTTGTTCGGCAGTTGCGCGCGCGCGGCGCACGCCGCTCGCCGCTCGCCGCTCCGACCGAACCGACCCGCACACACACACACACACCCACACACGTTAAAGACGCCCTCTGTTTGCTTTCTCTGCCTTGCTCAAACACTTAAGGGCCTATGGGTGGCAATTCGATTTAAATATTCTTGCCTATGTTTCGGAATCTTATTTACACAAGGCTTGCCTAAACTGACTATTTGGGATTGGCCATAACAGCCGCACGCAATACATAACCATACATTAAGGATAGAGTGGTACTGCATTTGATGCGTCTCGTGAGCCCACCCCCCAGCCAGGTGCAACCGAGCCCCTGCTGGGAGAGACCGAAAAACACCCCCCAGGTTTTGCAACTCATGGCACGGACTCTGTCGCCACTCCAACAGTTCGGATTGGCTGGCTGACCCACAACACCGTAGGCACGCATTACCAGAGTCTGAAAAGGTATGCTCTGTACAGAATGCAGACACATTTATTGGGCCAGGGGGCGGGGGAGCAGGGGGAGCAACGGGACCAGGCCTGGCTCTTTTCTGCTTGCGCTCCAAGGCTAACAGCTCTTTCTCTTTCTCAACAGCGTCAAGGGTCGCTCTGAGCAGACGCTGACGAACCATG